ACAGAGAGAGAGAGAGAGAGAGAGAGAGAGAGAGAGAGAGAGAGAGAGAGAGACTGACCTGGCAGCGGGCGACGACCTCCTCCGCAGCAAGAAGCCTTGGTGGGCAGCAAGAAGCCTTGGCGGGCAGCAACTCCTTGGCTGGCGATGATCTTCTCGTCAACGATAGACGTCGATAGTGACGGCGGGCGACGAAGACGACAGCAGAAGATTGGCGGCAGCGCGGCGGGAACACAGCTCATTCAAAATTGGTTCGGCGGGAGGGATAGCGGATTCGAGAACTCGAATCCGTGTTTTTCCCTTTCCCTGTCCGAGCTCGGCAGAGGCGGTGATCCAACTCAGTCTGGCGCTGTCCGGTAGGCCTTCCAGTGGCCAAAAAATCCCAAAAGAATTTTTGGGGGGCAGCCTAGGACCCCCAAAACGTCCTAGGAGCCTCAATGTTTTTTTTTGAATTTTCGAGAAACGGGTCCATTCCGGACCTACCGGACCGGACCCCAGACCCGGACCCAGACAGCCGGTCTGTCTGGATCCCGGTCCAGACGTCCGGCCGGTTGCCATGGTTTTTGTTTTCGTTTTGGCTGGTGCCACCAGCCATTTTGGTCTGGTTCCCCTGAGCATCCACGGGGTTGATTCCCTGTGCACGCCAAAAAAAAAGAAAAAGAAACCATGGCACGGTGTTGTTTTTCTTTCGGTTGATGCCGCCAGCCATTATGGTCCTTTAGCGCTGTTCATCTCGAAATGCCGCATTTTCAATTCTCAAGTTTGCCTGAGCGAGGTCCGGGGGTTTAAAGGGGTTTAAAAGGGGGTGCCTTAATTTGATTTCTTTATTTTCTTCCTTTTATCTTCAATTCAATTAGCAACTCTGATGTGACCCTCGCCCAAACATTGCTTGCATTGCAATTCTACAACGTTTTTTTTCAGAAATGTTTGATTTGTTTTTTTTGCGCTGGGGCCGCCCGATCTCCACCTGTGTGTTTGGCTGGGCGGGTGGTGGCCTACGATTAAATGGAAATTCTGAGGCTGTGTAGTAGTATAATTCAATAAATTTTTAGCTAAGGGTCACCTATACCACGTTTGCAAAATTAGGGAAAACACAGGAAATCTGGGAAAAAAGATATCTGGGTCGGATTTGGAGGTATGCTTTCCTGACAGGAGAACGAGATTAGAAAAACAAGTGGTTTTGAAATGGGGCTTCGTCTGCAGCATAGAGGAGGTGGTGAGACAGGGAGGAGGGCATAGAAGGAGGGGAATTGTTGTTCAATCAAAGAGAAAGTAACACAAACGGCGCGCTCGAGAGAGAGAGAGAGAGAGAGAGAGAGAGAGAGAGAGAGAGAGAGAGAGAGAGAGAGAGAGAGAGAGAGAGGGAGAGTACGGAATTGGCATAGATACACATTTAGAACCCTTTCTTCTTTCCCTTCCAGCATTTTTCCCTTAGATCCTTTGATTTTTATCCTCTTTGCCACTGATGGAGCTGTGGGCATGTGTTTGAATGAATAGTTAGAATCAAAAGACGTTTTATTCACTCTCTCATGTGTCATGAACTTTAAATTCTGTTTTGCCAGGTTGGTGCTGAGAATGCCCGAGTTGCACTGGACCTGTTGGAGTACGACAGCATGCTCACGGTAAGGATTCTGTTTCTCTCTATTACTTCAGACCTTACTACGTTATATCTATTTCAGTAAATTTACTTTGGATTTTTAAGTCCCAACAGAGGGATGATGTTCTGTCGTTGGCGCCCAGACACCTCCTCCAGCCCTCTGAGTTCATCGACAGATGATTCAATGGGCATGCAGGTACAGAGAGAGAGGTTTTCTCTGCTCTTGCCTTGCATTTTTTCCTGTCAATTGCTTTCCTGTCGGTCCGTATCATGCGCTTTTGGCTTCCCAGTAAAGAGATCACAGGCTGTGACCTGCTGAAGCATAAAATGAGGAGAGAGGAGGGTGACGGATGTGAACATGATGCAGGAATCGTAAGCGTACCAGGGTTTGGAGGCGGGAGAGGTGACTGATGGGGAAAGAGAGTCTGCAGAGGTGGAGCAAGTTTTTCATTCTTTTAAACCACCAGTACTTTTCCCAGCCATTTTCCTACAAGGTGGCAGTGCTCGTGTTGTGTCTGGCGGGATGTACCGGCGTGGCAGGATGCAACGAAAATATCCAGGCAAAACGCGTCACGTGCATTACCCCTTTTGCCTGGATGTATATTTTGGGAATCGCCAGGCCGGTACTTACTGCTGGACAAGGCGCGAGCAGTGCCGCCTCGTAGAAAAATGGCTGGGAAAAGTATTGCTGGTTTAAGGTATCTGCAATGAACCGTGCAAATGAGAACACCAGTAAACCAGATCACAACATCTCACAGAAGGCCAAACATGAGCCGAAGTGAAAGCAGGAAACCAAAGCTGAATGCACACTAAATAAGAGTGGACAATACACCAAAGTCTCTTGATAAAGAAGCCCTTCGCCCGCCTCCAATAATCAAAACAATGACATGTAGTAGCTCCACTGGTGGCCTGACAGCCCTCCTACTTCCTAGCTCCCATCATCCACGTGTCAATCCCCCGATGCTGCTTGAATACTCTGCTCACACAGGTTCCTTCTGTCAACACCAGTTAAGTATCATCAGTCCCCAGACTCTCCACTTGCCTTCCTTCTCCTGCCCACCTCCACACTTCCACCATGCAGCAATGCTGTGCCCAGCCAGCTATGGCGGGCACTCCTCTCCTCGCTGCCACCGCAGCAGCTTCCCCACAGGTGCTGCACTCTTCCTTCAGTGCAACAGCGCTCTCACTTGCAGCATCTGCCCGAATGTGTCTCTCACTGCGGCCTCCTAGAGTTTTGTGCTGCACGAGGGAGGCCACTATAGGCTTTGGCCTGTCGCAGTAGGCAGTTCCTCAGGCCTACTGGGTCTGAGTGTATGCCAAGCCTCTGCAACGAACTCAGAGTCTAGGCCCGTGAATTGGTTGCAGAGGTTGGTCGTTACCAACTAACAGTGGGGCCTTGCTGGCCTTCACTTAGGGCTGGCATATAGAAAATCAGGCCCGCCTTCATTTAGGGCAGGCCAGCCCTTTTTTTCCAACCTGCCGGAGGGTCTGGTTCCTCGCATATCTACTGGAAGGCATGCTATTGCGTCTGTCGCGAATTTGGGCTTTGTGCTGTCTTTGTCTTTTGTGATGATGTAAATGTGGTCGTTTATATCTTGGGATGCTTTTTTTTGTGTGTTGCTTATCTAGGAGAGAAGTTGTGTTTTCTACGTAATTTCATTGTGGTGTTTGTTGTGGTGTGACCTTTTTCCTGAACTTGCAGCCAGCTTTGGCATACGTGTTTGGTGGCTTTTTTGTTTGCAAGGATGCGGAGACAGCGAAGCAGGTATGCCTTTTTTTGGTTTAGTTTTTTTGTCCTAACCTTATGTATCCATCTGATTCCGTCAGGATTGGAACTTGTTATTGTTTATGAACACGTACTGTGATTTGTTCTTTGCTTTGTAACTTTGTACTATGCTGTGTACCACCACGTTCACGTTCGCCCGGAGAACACAAACTTTCGAGGGAGAATGTGAACGCATTCGGAAACCAAGCGAATGCAAACATCTTTTTTTTTTTTTTAGCTTAGAGTCTTTAGACCCTTTGGAGTTTGGGAGGCATCACCTTCCTTCCCCTCCTCCTCCATTACTCTCCTCATCCTCCTACACCTTTTCTCCTCCTCCTTTGTACCCTACTCCTTCCTCGATACCCTCCCCCATCAGATCTGCATCACACTTGTGTCACTTGTGTGTGTGTGTGTGTGTGTGTGTGTGTGTGTGTGTGTGTGTGTGTGTGAGAGAGAGAGAGAGAGAGAGAGAGAGAGAGAGAGAGAGAGAGAGAGA